CTCTCTCAACTTCTGGTGAGGCCAACTTATGAATCCCTTCCACTCGCCTCTTCAAACGAAGTGAAAGGTAATCCAACATCTTCCCTTTTTACGACACTTTATCATCACCTCAGACAAAATTCCATTTATTCGATTTAAAACTGTAGACCAAAGCTTATATATGCACTACCAGGCTATCTATTCTTTAATTGAGTGGAGTTATTACTTTATGTGCACTAAGCACTTGTTTTCCATTTTGGTTTATCAACCTTTCGAAATAACACTTTCTTCCATTGGTTATTTGCTATGTAAGGTTCCGAAAAATGGATGCTTTAAATGTAGATGGAAGACACGTCGTAGCAACCTACCTGCCAAATTATCCTTTGTGTGGGACCAAAGTATAAATAGAGTTGATAAAATTGAAAAAAAATTTTAATTATTTTTACAGCAATCCTCAGAATAATGTATAAAATCTCTGTTCCAGATGACTATAGAGCCCCGCGTTGCCGCTCGTCAGGCTAACAAGCCACCTCCCCTTTACGTTTGTCTTGACTGCGCTGACGCACTCAACCGTCGAGAGTTTGACCAACTTATGGATGTACTACTGCCAACTAAACAGGTTTGCAAAATTTTAATGCTTTGCCCTTTCCTTTTTTATAGTATCCTACTTCTATCCTAAATAAGTTCAGTTTGGGACCGTCTTTAGGCATATTCTTACCTATTTCTGGACTCGAAATTGTGAAATAGTAAGATATAAGGATGAAAAATTAATTTCTGGGCTTCTCTTCACCTGACTGCTTTGAAATAATTTCTTTGAGTCTATTAAACTAAAAGTATCCATATTCAATAGACCGATAATGCTAAATAAGGATAAGTCTTATTGGATATTTTTCGTATATAGGTAGAGTTTAAGACCACCATAAAATCAGTTATATGAGATTTATTCACCCAGTTTCGTTTAAGGTAATGAAAGACGGTTAGTAGATTTTTCCCACAATGCTGTGAGTAGAACTGACGTTTCCTTTGAATTTCACATAGCTTTGATTTCCCCAAAAATGTTCTAATTTAGGGTGGACTTCAGTTTCGGCCTCACATAGGTTTTATAAACATTCCCAGAGGGAGTCGAACCGTGACAGTGAGACGTAAGCTTGACACGTTAGTCACTCGGGCACATTGTCACGAGTGTCCTTTGGGTCACAAACCAGATGTGAATTTCAAGGAAGGCCAGGCCTTTTCCCACATCACATTCTTTGGTGGGATTGTTGGTGAAGCCAACTCATTTTTCTATAACGATCGACTACATTCCTTATTTTTCGAGTATAAGCAGAGTTTCGAGACTGCAATTAAATAAGTTATATGAGATGTCATTCAACGTCTATCTGACCGCTGATAAAGTATTATATCAGGTTTATAGAACATATTTTGATTTATACTTTCTCCTTCTGACTTTTAGATACCCCATTTTTGTGTAGTTAAGGTGTTTCAATGTGCCGCCAAACAATATGTCTCTAATAGAAAGATTAAGATCTTCGAGATGCTTCTTGTATTCTACTGCTATTTTCTTTCATTATTCACTTTTTAATACACAAATCATGCTTTAAAATCTAAGCATTAAAAAAACAATCATAACTCCTTATCAGACGATGACGTTTGACTTCTTTTACTAGTTGAATCCTAAATAAATGGTTTTCTTTACTTCATGGAGCTACGTTCCTTGTGTCGATCAGCTTTACTCCAAATGGCTATTCATTATACCATAAATGTTGGTTTAGTTGATAGAAATCCATTTCTTTGTGACATTTGATTTTTATACAGGCTGCCTATCCTGATTATACTTTCAAGCAGCAGAACTTGTACCCTGGCTTAGTTGAGATATCTAAGTCTCATTCCTATTGTAAATCCAATGTCAAACTCATATCTTAAAGCCCATTATGATTCCATCTGTATGCTATTCATTCTCGCAAATCGCTCCGTTGCTTGGGTAAATTCCCAAAGGCTTCACAGGTATCAATATTAAACAGCGCTTTCCTTTGAATTGCTTTCCAACTCGTCAAAGTGAAGAGTTTTAAGGATGACACTGTTCATATTATTATTTTACCGGCTTAAACTTATGAAACTGTGCTCAACCAGAGGTCCGATACTCGAGGAGCAGATGGCAGAAATGCGCTTAAACGCATGGCAAGTTACATAAACGAGGCCAAACTTAGTTTTAAACAAAGTTATTTATGCAAAAAGTGAATACGTTTGAATTAGCCCCCTCGAATGGTTGGGGTATCTTAATATTCACATTTGCTAAAATCATGTTTCTCATTGTTTGCATTTTTCGTGTATTCATCTGTTCTTGTTGGCAATTATTTTACGTTAACAATTGCCTAATTTTTCCAAATCCTCTCATGAGAGCCTCGAAATGCACCATTACATTTTATTATAATAATTTTGATTGTCATATTTGAAGACTCTTCTCATCTAAAATTTATCTCTTTACGCTGAGCTTAGTCTGCTTTTTTCTAAAAGCGATAACATGGAGTATTGCTTCTTCATTTTGTCCCATCAAGAATAGTTACTCCTTAGTGATTTTTTATATTTATTTTCTTAAGAGGAGACTGCTAAGTATATGAGCAAGTATACGTGATTCATTCGCTCTAGGTCTATTTTAGGTTTCCATCGCTTGCAATTATTTGAATATTGAGGTATTTTCACCTATAAGATGTTCGAACTACGTTATGGATAGCTCATAATTAGGCCAACTGCGTTGCCTTTTACTCAAAAACATTTTAATAGTGTCATATATCATGGTTCTTTCATAACTTATTCCATTTCTCATAAAGGCCTCGTTCGTCACGTTATAAAATAGCTACAAGCTTTATAGAAGAAATGAAATTTGAGGCTAGCAAACCTTTGCACTTCTTACTATCTACACTAAATGATATTGAAGTCTTCTAGGCTTTGTAACGTCTTTTTTATCTTCTAGATAAGCCTTATCTGTGAATCTAAGACCTGCCGAAGTAAGTCGAATACGGCTGTGGTCTCCTGTTGGTCCTCAGAGTGTGCCTTCCTCAACGGCGGCCGGCCAATCCGCTTCTGTCAAGCTTGTCATTCTCTGCGGCACACCAACGCCAGCGACGGCAATCGAGGTGCTAGCATTGGCCCCGGTATCGGTGGTAGCGACAATGATCTTGTCCCTGCTGCTTTGGGCAAGCCACTTATTAGTACCAATAGGAAGTCTTGGTGTGGTCCAGTTGCTTCTACCGACAATGCTGAGGATGTCGCCAACGTACTTGGCGAGGTTGACCCTAGAAGGCGTATGGCCAACTTAAACATAACCAACTCTGGCTTTGGTGGAGCAAGAGAGGAGGTCGAAGATGAAATGGATGAAGAAGACTGTGACAAAGAGGAAGAAGATCTAGAACATTTGCAGGCGGAGGAACGAGGAAATGAGCAAGAAGAGCATGAAGGTAGCGATAAGAACGACGAGAAAGACGATGTAGAGAGATTAAGGTCCACGAGGCAACATGCAACAGTAGGTGAATTGCAGAGCGATGGTCTTAGAAATGAAGGTCCCACGTTGCTCATTGATTTCCAGACAGAAGCTAACTCTGGTAATGCCGTCCGTCTGCAGGATCATGTCTTTCAGGTGATTACTTCGTAGTCTCATTTATTTTTACCCTTTTACTGCGAATATTTATTCACTCTACATTTTTTTATTATTGTTGGTTTTGATGGCCTACGGGACTAGTTTATATTTCAAAATAACCTCTTGGCTGTATTAAAAACAGTTTAATGTTATAGCTACCTATGCTCTTTAAAATGTACATGGCTTATATACTTTTCATACCATTTTACTGGATAACTTGATTGTGGCTCTTCTAAATATTAATTTAGCACTTAGGGATCCCGAAGTGAAGAGCGTTTGAGGTGAAATTCATCGATGGTTATAATCAAATTCATCTTTACTCTATTACAATAATATAGCCTTACAAATTCTTTCTATTTGGGTTTAATTTAGACTTTCTAATTTCTATCAAATAATGCTTGCTAGGATATCAAAAAGTTATATGATTAAATAGGAAGAAAGAACTAACTTTGCTGAGTTTTAATCATAATTAACTTAAATTAAACAAATATTTCAATTTGTTTTTTGTTAAGAATCCCGTCCCACCAGTGTGGGATTGTGGTATTGACTTGCAGCCCTGTTTTGTAGAGGCAGTAGTATCTCTAACTCGAGAGACAAATCCTCGCTGGCGGCAGGTTCTTCTGCTTGGTGGAGAAGACGGGACTGGCTTAGCTGGTTGTGGTTGGGCCAGCATTCCTTCTGGCCGTTCGACGGGACCTTCAACCAGCGGAATATCAGGTCCAGGTGGGCCCATGACATCCGGGAACACTGGAACTACAGGAGGGCCAACTCAGTCTGCCGGCGACCTTGGTCTCTTAGGATTCACTGGAGGTGCTAGTGGCAATAGCGGTCCTGCCATCTCTCTAGTGCCTGGATCGTCCACTATGGTCACGGTTGGTGCCGGTGGTATGGGGAATCTCTCAGCATTGGGACCTGTAATGTGTGGGCTTGGCGCTCCAGTTTCGGCTAGTTCGAACGTTCCGCCCATGCGAGTAGCTGTGATGCCAATTGGCGGGGCTTCTGATGGAGGCCTTTCCGGACCTGGCCTTGGCTCTGGTTTGCCAAGCACCGGGGGAGCTATGGGTCTGCCTACTGGATCACTTTTGGATGTGAGTTTCGTTCACTTACGACTCTGTCTTCTTCCATCCGGAGCACAACAAGACCAGATTTAACTTATAAATTGATAATATTAGCTGATTTTAATCGAACGTATGAAGACTTAGATGGTGTGGCCTTCAGTATAATCGTGATCTCCATCCGTTGCATGCAAGTTGTTTTACCTTGTTTTCACAGACATACTCGATGCACATGCTGAACAGTAATAAGGGAATCTATGGTGTCAAATTAGTATTGCATCCAGATTGACAATCCAGACCTTGAAGGCTTGCTCAGTGAAACTGGAGTATACATGTTATTAAAGGTTTAAGACAAATTGTATAACATAACGTCTTGAGTATAATGGATATGGTGGCAGCGATCGAGCGAAATCACTGAACCAGGCAGATAAGATATGGATCCCATGGTGCAAGAGGGAGACTCTGATAGGACCTGGAGGAAGAGGACTGTGAACTAAACTGCAGCCTTGGATCAGGACTTCCACCATAATGGAGGAATTCGGGAACCAGCGGAGACTGTTAATAGATTTCACTAAATCCTCTTAAGAAGGTACACCTCAACTAGGTTTAGATAAGTGATTTAGAAATTGTCATAGTGAAGGGGTGTTACGAGGATATGGGATAGGTAAATTAATCAGGACAGAAGGAGAGATATCACAATTGTTCAGCGGAAAATTGGTCAGAGAATCGACTTCACTTGTCTCTGATAAGTTTTAATGTTTTGTTAAGAATGGCAAGGCGCACTGACGATGCCGGCGAAATGTCTGGGAATGTACAAAGTCCACGATCTGACTCTGGAAATTATCATTCATACTACGGACTCCAGACAAGGTGCATTCCTCTAGTTCTTCCTGACGATACACTCAAGTTGCGATGACAAAGTCAAACTATTATTTCAATTTCTTTGGTCGCTACAGGATATTTAAATAACATTACCTGAATCTTAATTTTAAATTTAGCCCAGATTTTATAGATAATAGCCGTTTATAAATTAAAATTAAATACTACATATTTAGGATTCTTATTTTGCAGTTATCACTTTTTCCATGCATGATACTTGCTTCTTAGTACAGAATAAGCACTGTTAGATAAGCCTGGATCGAGTAGCCCTGCAGAACTCTGAAGGAGTCTTAAAGTAAACCATCGATGGAAACTTCAGATAGTCTATTTAAATGTAAAGCAGAATGCCAAGACTGCCCAACTAAATAAGATTTGGGAAGATTTTATAAGCTTAACGAAGAATATTTCCTTAGAGATTAAGGCGAAAAGTTGCCTATATGCAGTCAACAAAATTTATATAGAGTATCAGACATCTGTATGAAATAAACTTTATCCTAAATATGTTTAACACAAGTCATATATACTGTGGTAAATACTTGTAAAAATAATATTTATACTACTAATATTAGTATTAGTACAGTTTCAATTTCAATTTCAATTTAGCCTTATCTCCTAGAAAGTATTTACTGCAAATTAACTGCAGTTTGGACCTCATATGAGTATCATCAGTGCTTATAACGGAAATCGAACCCGGGTAGATCAGCGCATAGTTTTGATATGTTATTACTTTGCCATACTGCCATGATTGTCACTTTATCACAGGATAAACGTGACTTTCAAGGCAAGCTAAGCGTCTCTCATATCATATTTTATAGTGGGTTCATAAATCCTTTATCGCCTTAATAGGAATATAGTCCCTATTTATGATCTTCAGAAAATATATAAATATATTATTCAAGTTTTATTTATCTACAATCCCAATATAAATGTGAAATGGGAGGGGCCTAATTTGCTATGCAAGTCACGTCTGTCTTATTATCCACTGGTAGCTATAGCAGTGTGACGTATTGGCTACATTTCGAGAGCACTCTATGCTACCTGGGTCTGATTACAGTTCGCTATACAAATGAGACCCGGATGAATTCGGATCTAAAGTCCATTATGGACGGATAAATTTTTGGAGGGACGTCGCTATGTGAACTTCGATGGCATCTTGAGGCTTACTTATATTGTTGTGGAAAACTTCAACCATGAGTCCTTCCGCCTTTTTTAATCTACTTCTATACATTTAGTTAAGTCATTATTTAGCTTTTCCCCCACGGCGATGCAGTAACGTGCTAAGTCAGTGAACTTAAAATGTACAAGGAGTAATGGTCCTGTCTTGGTTCATGGAGAAATGTTATATGCCATAAAGACGGTTCCGATCGAGTCATGTAATCAGAACTGAATACACTTTACTCGTTCTATTGGAAAAATTTACTTTGCCACTATTCTTCTATTTGGGTCCTTGCAGCACTTCTTTGATAGTCAATTTTTAGGCTTCTGGCCGAAGTGATGGTGTATCTCGTCGTCTCCATAAAACGGGTTAATTTAATTAAGATATTAGTTTTAAGCTCAAATAACGTTTACAGGTACATGTGGCTAACGAATGGAAATATAACAATTATTGCATAAAAATAAGTTTTGTAAACTCTTTCTTTCACCTTTCCATTATGAAAGTGTCATTTATTATTCTGAACAACATAAGGAGACCGCGACCATACTAAAGGCCTCATTATCTTGGCCTTCATGCTTTCGATTAATTCTATTTATTTTAAATTTATCCAGCCCCAAGAAAACGAGTATTTTTTGACCTGAACTAGCCTTTAATACTGAAGTAAAGGATTGACATATCTAACGGTGAAGTATCCGACTTAGCAACAATTTACGGGGTCGCAATAAAGTTTTCCTCAGTCTCCTCCATCATTATATTTTAGGGATTGACCAATTTTCACGAAACCCAAATTTCTTTCTACATACACCTCAAAATTTTCCAACTTCACCTTTGGATTTTATTGCTTTTGTAACTTCTTATGTTTTACTTTAATTTTGCCACATTTTTATTCCCCTGACGATGACACATCCTGATATTGGCTCTGTCCACTCAGACTGGACTTCAAGGCTCTAGTGGACCCGGAACTTTCGGTCTTGCTCGCGTTGGTATAGGTGGGGCCAGCGGAGGCGGCTCTGTAGGTGCTATTTCCGGGCCAGGGGGTGGTGCATTAGCTGAGGCTAGTGGAGAGCTACGCCTGATGGCCCGATACACAGACGATGATCACAAAGTACTTGCCATTTATGGTGCCCTTCTGGTAGGAGAGAAGTGCCGACCTAGAGAACGAGTGAACATTGTACGTTTATCTTCCTTCTATTGCATTGCTTATTGTGAACTTTATTCTTGTCTTTGAATTAAGGATGAAATTGTTTATATTTTCTTAGCCCTTTTTCTATGGTAATGATTCGATGTAGTGGATGTTGCACTCATTCTCACAGTGCTAATTTACCATTCTATTGGAAGTCCGATTAAAGAAAATCTTGTCTCCATAACATCTGCCCTTGCGTCACAGGGCAGATGCGAATTTCAACTAACGGACATTTTCCTATATCACATTTTGTAGAGGCATTATCGATGAAACAAAGTTGTATTTGTTATAAATCATCTAGTTACTTATTTTCTTGTAAAAGTAGGTTTTTGATACTACCACTAAATCGTATATATGAGAGGTGTTCATCCTGTTTCATTTAAGATGATGAAGAACTGGTAGTCGAATTTTCCCATAAGGTTTTGGACTAGATTTACTTTAAATTCACGGCCTCCTTGTAACCCAAAAGCATTCCTAGCATTGTGGAATGGTTCTTAACGTGCCGAGACTATGCTCCATGCTACCCGAGTTCGAGTCCCACTATGGGCCATGCTGAGACCTATGTCGGATCGAAATTGCAGGTCACACTTAACCAGATTATTAAAAATTTTGGTAATCAAGGATGCAATTCAATGGAAACATGACGCTTACTCATAGTATTGTGGTAAAATTCAAGTACCAGTCCTACATCCTCTTAAATAAAATTGGTTTAATGCTTCACATATATATGGT